TTTCGCCGCGAGAAAAAGTTACGTGGTACGACCGGGGGGGGGGGCGGACGCGAAGTGCACTCCAATCGAGCTACGGCGGAGGGTGTAATAAAAACTGCATCACTTCGATCAGAGAATTTCAAGAACACGCGGAACGACACCGAGACGGCATAAACGGCGCGATGAAAATCGAGCGCAACTGCTGCTATGAAATTATCTAAAACCGCGGCGGGACGCTCGTGAAATAAAGTGGACGCGCGCCCGCGTTTATAGTTTATAACAGAGATAAAAAAAGAGAAAGAAAACAATTTTGCAGTTTGCAACAGCGCCGAATCACTCGCGGTAATGGAAACTGCGCGTTCCTCCAACGATATCGAAGCGTTATTATATTATATTAGTTATTAATTATAAGTTATTACATAATTATAATATTATAATATTATATATACTCAGTATATATAATAGAGTATATTATATATATATATATATATATATATATTTATTTATTATATAATATATAAATATATAATAAATAAATTAATAACTAATATTATAATATTATAATTATATATTAATATTATATTATATATACTATATATATATAATATTATATATAATATGTAATATAATATATATATATATAATATTAATATATAATTATAATATTATAATATTAGTTATTAATTTATTGCTAACAAAAATCTCGCGTTCGAGAAGAGAAATTTTTGATCTGACATATTTGCGAACGACGATTAAAATACGTGAAAACGTACAGCGCAATTTTCCTCTTCGTTCGTAATAATCGTGTAAAATGAAAAATACGTGAAATGTCATGTTAAATTAGGTACGTTACAGTACTTTTTTAATTACTCGCTGTTTTGCGAGAAAATTTGATCGGTGCAAAAATTCTCAAAACACCAGAGAATAGACTGACACTTCGAACGTGTCTGAAACTGTTAAAAAATTTTTCTCGGAGCTAATTTTGGCACGATTTTGAAGATTGAAGCTTCCGCTTTACAGCAACTCCTTAAAATTTGACATAAGATTTTTTTTCATCGTTTCACCGAGCTTCGAACGAGAGGTGTACCATCGACTTTACCGCACACGGTCAAGATTTTAGACTGCCAAACGTGTCCCCCATTTCTGGCTTATAAAACGGCGAGAGAAAATCGTGGATCAAGTTTCGAGGTGTCGTTATAAAAAGGAGACTCCGATCTTCAAATCTGTGCTAGAGTCATCCTTGACAAAAATTCTGTAACGTTTTCAGGGACGTTTGAATTTACAGCATTTCCGACCCGAAAAGTGCGGCCATTTCTTCCATTTCTTCGTCCGTCGTGTTTTGTAAAAAAAACCTTTCGTCAAAGGAATAACGCAGCAACATAGTAGAATCTGCGAGCTTTCAAATGAGCACAGTTGCATCGTGGTACGATTTAGGGTCGATACACATCTACGTGCTAGGCTCGGGTCGTACTGGCAGCGTGCACGATTGACAGTGTTCGCGGCACGCGTAGTGCGAACAAATGTATTATAAATCAAAAATGTATCATAAATCCAATGTATTATAAAACAAATGTAAAAATGATTCGACCTTGTTCCGAGCCTGGTACGTAGATGTGAACCGACCCTTACGGCAACGAAATCACAACAAATCGAAGCTCGACGATGTCGCGAGAATCGAACGACGATCGGCGCGGAACATTGATTAAATAAATAAATCCGTCCTGTAAATTGTGCAAGCTCGGAACGACGGAGGGCGCGTCAAAGAGTCGACGAGTCCGAGATCATGCTTTAAAACGCTGGACCGGATTTTCGCGTGGCCGTTCGAATAAACGTTCCGGCCTCGCCAATAATTAATCGGCGCGCCTTAAAAGAGACTGCCGATGTCGGCGGCGGAAGGGGACCGGCGCGGAGCCAGCAATTAATGTTTAAATTAGCAGCGTGCGGATACGCGGAGTGAGTTATTAATGTGTATCCGGTGAAGAGAAATTACTTACCGAGTATTTGGCTGAGAACGGTGCGGCCGTCTTCGCCGAGGCAGGCGCTCCGGGCATCAAAGGGATTCGTGAATTGCACGAATGCATAGCCTTTGTGCATGGATATTCCTGGAACAACAAACGATCGTGACGTTCCAAAACGGCCCCCGGTTCTTTCTTCGCGGGGGCGCGGCCGCGACGCGGACGGAATGAAACAGAAATACCGGGCGCCGCGCGCCGGATAATGGGAGAAATCTTTAATTAAAATTGTTTCCATGAATTTTGATGAGCCAGCTAGCTCGAGGGGTGCGTCCGTCATCCCTCCGGATGGCGGAGCTATCCCCGCCCTCTCTCTCTCTCTCTCTTTTCCGCCCTTGAATCGCGATTATTGAAACGAGCTAACAAAGATCCCGCGTTCCTCCCGCCCGCGCTGCCCGGCGTTTTAAGAATGCGTTAGGCGTACGCCGAATTAATGGCCGCTCCTCAAAGCCGCCCCTGAATCCCCGGTAATTGCTCCAATATTGTTTTAACCCTTTGCTGATGAGCTGCAGCCTGGGAAACTCGGCGAATTTCTTAAACCAATTGCCGCCGGATTCGATGAAAGTGGCCAGTCCGCGCTCGCCAAGTGTTCTTTTAACGTTCAAACCGTAGACATTTCTTCGGATTTGTATCTAAACTCGTTCGAAGCTAATGAAATTTGAATCTTATGGTCGCGGTACATCGTGTCGCGATTGCTCGTGAACTTTCAGAGTTGAAAAGGAAGAAAATTGTATTTATTTTTAACGGTGTTGCGCTTCCAGGGTCAATAATTGTTGAGATAATAATAGTAATAATAATAATTACTGATAAGATCGATAATAGTTGAGACAATAATAATAATAATAATAATACTAATAATAGACAAGATCAATAATAGTTGAGGCAATATATAATAATAATACTAGTAATAGACAAGATCAATAATAATTGAGACAATAATAATAATACGAGTAATAGAAAAGATCAATTATAGTTGAGACAATAATGATAATAATAATAATCATACTAATAATAGACAAGATCAATAATATAGTTGAGACAATAATAATATAATACTAATAGTAGACAAGATCAATAATATAGTTGAGACAATAATAATAATACTGATAATAGACAAGATCAATAATAGTTGAGACAATAATAATAATACTAATAATAGACAAGATCAATAATAGTTGAGACAATGATAATAATACTAATAGTAGACAAGATCAATAATATTTGAAACAATAATAATAATAATACTAATAGTAGACAAGGTCAATAATAGTTGAGATAATAATAGTAATAATAATAATAATAATTCTGTAATGGACAAGATCAATAATAATCATTACTATTGTCCCGTTCTTCGCCCAACACATTCGTCAACGAAGAATACCAAAATTGCACTCAACCGCAGACTGCATATGCATCCATAAACACATGCACGTAGTGCATAGTGCATACACGACAAGCTAGAATTAATAGCAATAAATATTTTCCCCCGTTTTAACGCAATATCTGGTGCAAGGCTCGCGAATGATCGTTTCTCTTGTGTTCCAAAATTGTCCATTTCTGTGCACAATTATATTGTGTCAATTAGGGAGAATTTACTATACTCGCTTTCCATAGAATAACTCTGAAACTGTTCTTTTCAGTAAATCGTCGAAGTTACTTCGCTCTCCGAAATTCCCGATCAATTCAAACATTGTACCCGGAGAAGTGTCCCTCCGCGAAAAGGCCCATTCAGCAATTTTATATAAACAATTCATGGACGTTCCCGGCGGCATTTAGTTTTCATGAAACCATTCGCAGGTGCAGCGGCCGCGCCAGTTCCGGCGAATATTTTTCTCGAGCCTTATAAATCACGGCGCGTGTGGAAGCAA